GAACCAGCGGCTCTGTCTCCCTGCTGCAGAGGGGGCCTGCACAAGAGGAATCAGCCCTGGGGGAAAGGCCAAAGCTTCTTCATTCACAGCTGTTCCCACAAGGCACCCTGGGAACCCGGGAAGCAGAGGCGCAGCTCGCTGAGGTGGGAGCCAAGGGCATGGGGCAGAGCGAGTCCGTGCCTCTCCCTCGCACAAGTCCATTTTGGGGGGGCATGGCCACCCCCACAGCACTTGGCTGACCCACGTGTGCTACGGGGCTCAGCTCGAGAGCCCTCCAGCTTTGGGGGTCTTCACTTTACACCAGCTGCTGGCTGGCCCAAGCAGTGTTGCAGACCTGCAGCCAGCGCCGGAGGAGCAGACAACGCTCAAAATACCTGCGAGCCCGGGAGTGGGCACAGTGCCAGGCGAGCTGAGTAAGCACAGACCTCAGAATACAGCTGTCTGCTGGCTGAAAACAGCGCGAGAAACAACCCGGCAACCTGTGACACCCCACCCCGGCCCAGAGACTGCAGTGCTTGCACCACCGCCACGATGGCCCCGGTGTGGGCACCAGTCCCATCTGATAAAAACAGATCTCTACTGCAAGGGAGGGGGGGAAACAGCTCTGACAAAGAAAGGCAACTCTTCCTGTCCTTCCCAGGCTCCCAGGCCATCCGGCGTGGGATGCTGTGGGGCTTGCCTCCAGCCAGGGGGGGCTGCCAGACTGCCCCCCTCCCTGCCTAGCCTGGCCCAAGCTTTTCCTATAGAAACAAACAAAAAAAAAAGGGATGGGGGGAACCTCCCTGGGACGTGTTGCACAGGGAGGGTGGGCGAGGATGGGGAAGCAGCAGCCTTCAGGGAGAGGCAAGGGGGATTTATTCACTGGAGCAGGACGGTGCCCGGCTCCCTGCCAAGTTCCTCCAGGAGCAGGTCACAGTGGGATTGGCCCAGCTGGGGCGTGCAGAGGAGAAGAGGATATTTGGCTGTGGGAGCCCAGGCTGCACAGGGGAGGAAGCATGTCCCAGGCTCTCACCACTGACGCACATCCCCAGGGGGCGAGCGTGACCAGGGGAGACCACAGCTCCCAGTGCCAGGTGCCGGGCGGCACAGCCACATACTTTCAGCAGAGTCTGTTGATTTTGCTTCTGGCCTGAAGGCTCGCCCAGGTTTTCTTGTGCCCCTTGTGCCCAGGGGACCCTCTGAGCCACTGCACGGTGGTTTGTGCTCTGTTTCTTTACGGTCTTTAAAAGCCTGAAAAACCTCCAGGAGTCATAAACCAGGTACATCACTGCTTATTCTTCACTTTTTAAGATTAGAAACATCAGCTTAATTTACTGGTACTCACCTCTGTGTCCAGAGAAGAAGTGTGGGGTTCCCCCACCCTTAGTGGAATGGCAGGAAAGCAAACACAGAGATTATTGTCTTATGCCAACAGAAACTTTGGCAGTCTCCCATTCGCACAGGGCCATCCATCCCCAAATTTACAGCAGAAAAACCCCACTCTATAAGGACTGATGTGCTTTTTAACTTCCTCTGTGGTGTGAGGAACAAAGCTAGGTGCCAATACATAGAGAATTCCTAGGGGTGGCACTGGGGATCTTTAATTCTCTTCTCAAAAGTGGTCAGTGAAAACAGCTGGTAGTGACCAGTCCCCAGGCACCCTCTGCACACAGCAAGCCCGGCTCGGGAGCACGCATGGCCTCTTTGTTACCACTCATGCTCCAGCCATCCAGGAACGAGGTCTCCTGAATCCAAATCAAAGTCCTCCATTCTTAAGGGCACCTTAAGACACAAACCGAAGAGCCGTCTTTGTCAGCTGTTCTGATGGAAGAGAAAGGCTGTAATGGAGTGAGAGTGAGTCTCTCCTGAATCTTATAAGTTAAAAGTGTTCTCCTCAAACAACTGGATAAAATCCTGAAATGAGCACCGCTTGTCTTGCTCTGTCATCTGTATCCAGCACAGTGTTACATCCCTCCAGTTAAAAAAACCAAAACAAACCCACAAACTGAAGACAAATCTTGTTCTTAACTCACAAAATGATACACATACACACAGGCAAGTTATCAGAAAAGGTATTATATTTTGGTTTCCACCTTATTTAAAATTGATTTTGGTTTTCAATCAATCAAATCTGAGTATGTCTGAGTTAGTTTTCAATTTTTTTTTCCCCGTAACAGTAATGATCTGGATGACCATAATTATAAAAGAGATGGGGAGAAAACCCAAGAACAAGATACTAGTCTGAACTGTGCTCTCTTCCACACGAGCACTCAAGGGAATGTTAGTTTCAGCTCTTAATTTTTTTTTCCCCTTCAGGTTGTTACTAACAAAATCTCTACCGTTTATTAAAGCAAAGCTACAGTAAATTTTCTTGCAGTCTTACAGCAGGTTTTCATATTACCAGTAGGACTTGCATGCATGGATTGCAGTCACACACACACGCTCACAGACATTATACAGTAGCCAGTTGCCACCATTAAAAAAAAAAAAAAAGAAAAAAAAAAGAAAAAAAAAAGAAAGAAAAAGAAAACAGACATTCATTTCTTTTAAGTGGTCAACATTAGAATCGCACCAAACTTTTGGATCAAAAAAAAAAAAATACTGCACAGGTCTTCCACATCTACATGGTAAGTCATCCCTTCACAATGGACGGAGCTCTCGTCTCCATTTGTTCAACATGCATCGCTGAAGCTTGAAGGCACGCTGGCCAAAGAGAGCCCTGTTCTTTTTTTGTCATCTTAACTCAAGTGTGCTGCTCTTAGGGTGCAAAAAAAAGGAAAAAAATAAAGCCAAGCCCTTTTGCAGCACACTAGGAAAAGGTCACTCGGAGACCACAGTACTTGGAAGGCAGCCCAGCTGCCTGAATTCTACTTCTAACTGTGCTCTTGGAGGCATTGAAGGAATATACTTGTCTTTAAAAATTACCTATAAAGACAAATTTCTGCAAACCCTTCCTTTTCAAACTGCTTACGGTAGACTAATGCTCCTTCTGGAAGAAACTGGTCCTTCAGTCACCAGCTTCAAGTGGAAAATTTCCTACCTGCTATCTTAAACACTGAAGCACCAGAGATGATAGGGCTGATGTGTTCAGGCATTCATCAGCTTCAGGAAAACTTAACACAAAAGAGAAAAAAAAAAAAAAAAAGCTAAAATGAAAAGAAATCCCCAATGCCTCAAGAGCATTATATCAAACCAGAACTCTTGGGCTACTGACTGCTGGCACTGTCAGAAGCTGCTTGCTTCCGGGAAGACACCTGGAGGTTGAAGCCTTATGGTGATTTTGTATCCTCCCAGGGTGAGATTTGCTGAGCTTTACTGATTGCGAGATAAAGCAGTGTTTTGTAAAACTAAAACCAACAAACTCATAATAACCATCACCAAAATCACCATTGGGAAAGTCCCATTTGTTAGAAGGTCTCATTGAGAAACATCAGTCCCTGCCCTGCAGAGCAGGACAGACACAATCAACAAAACCCAGAGCGACCCGTCCCCCACAAGCCGGGCCTTCAGGGACTAGTCCCCGAATTATATTGGATGGGGAGAAAGAAAAAGAAACTAAAAAAAAGAAGGTTGTATCACCTTTTCCTCCTGTTAAAGTTTTAATCCTCTTATTCCACTTTTATTTCTTTGCTTTTTTTCCCCAGATTCTCCCTTCCACTCTGCCACCTTAGCTGGGGGAGTTATTGGTACGAGAGTTTGGAGAGTCCTGCTCATTTATTGTGTTCAAGAGTACACACACTGGCTGCCGGGGCAGGTGGTGGTGGCTGTGTTCGCGGTGCTGCTCCTCTGCGGCATTAAAAAGCCCTTCCTCCTCATCCCCATGGGGGTGGCCGCTACAGCTGTCACAGAAGTCCAGAGGCCCATCCAGAGCATCGTCGATGAGCCCATCAAACTCCTTGAGGTCATCGTCGTGATGGCCCCGGTTGCATACGCAGACTTCGATGCCCGAGTCGCCAGTGAAACGGCGCTGCCTGCCCGGCGTCTTGTCCTTCACGTCGGGAATGGCGCTGCTCTGCTCTAAGCTCTCAGAGCTGTAACCTTTTAGCAGTTCCTCCTTGCACTCCAAATCCTTATCGGGCCCGGCCCTCTCCACTAGCTCAGCTCCCATGCTGGTACCGCCAGGCTCAACGCTTTGCATTTTGGCAACTGCTCGCTCGACCAACGTGGTGGTGGAAGGCTCGGGGTTCCCGTGGCTGGGGGACCCGGTGATGTCAGTACTGCTGTTATTGCCGCTGGGTGCTGCTGAGCTGCTCTGCACTGGCTGCAGGTTTCTTGGCGTGTCCAGGATTGTGCTACTGCTGCCTGCTGGAACGCACTGCTGATGTAAGGCACTGTATGGTGGCGGGGGGGTTGGCGGTCGGTTCACCACTTCTTCATAGGGAGGTAGTAAATAATTTGGCAAAAACCCTAGAAGTGGGAGGCAAGGAGGAAAAGTTATTTCATGAACAGCTTATCTCAGGAACTGAGTCACTAATGTCATTTGTCGTCTACCAGCACCTTCCCACTGAACAGCTCAATGGACTTTACGAGGGGTGCCAAAACTTGGCCCAAATGAGACATGTCATGTTTTACAGAATCAGCAATTGTAGCACAGGAGGGAAGGAGGACACAGGTGGGATTGGCAGCCTGACCTCCCTGCTCTCAAGTCTATGTTTAGGGCTACCAGGTGAACCTCCCCCACTGCCCTGTACCCCAATACAGCCCCAAAAACCACACCAAGGTTGGCTGGAGGGAACAACCTGGGAGATGACTTGCCAGCCCTCTCCAATATTGGCTTCTCAGCTGAGTTTCCATTTTAAAAATCAAAGGTTTTATCTCACAAAGCTTTGTGAAAGAGACATGAGCAGTTACAAGGATCCTGGCTTTTGGTTGTTGTTTTAGTGCTGGATTTAGTTTTTCTGGTGCAGTCAGAGCAAATTGGCAGTACTGGCAGGAGAGTTTGATTTATTGTACTTACAGCCCCTCATATCTATGAAAGATTCTGTTTCCTTATTAAGAGGCAAGAAAATAGTTTATATAGCCAGAATTAACTTAAATACTGGAAACATTTAAAGATCGCACTGCAGTTTTCCATGTGTAACTGTGTATCCCTGGGGCTAGGGAGGAAAGAGCTGCTGGGGATTACTTCTGAGGTGGCTACAACAGTTGAACAAGAAAAGCAAGTTCATACATGCGACTCAATAGTCCATAACAGGAAACTCAGTTGTGGTACCTCCAGTCAAAAGACTCGCTGTTCTAGCACAAAATGGATTGTACTTTCCCTGAACTGTGGGCAACAGCTCCTTTGTGCAAAGTCCTAGGGCTGCTCACCAGCAGCGTGGTCTGGGAACTGCAGCACAGGTGGAAGCCAGCATGGTCCCTGCTGAGGCATCACTTCCACCCAGGCTGTGTGACCAAATTTCACGAAGCCCCTTCCCACAGCCCTCAGTCCCACCAGCAGCAAGTGCAGGCTGGAAAGGAGGAGCATGCGTAGAGTCCTGAACAAGGTATTTTAAGAACCTTCCCAGAAAAACACCCAGAGATTCACTGCACTCACAGAGCCAAATCACAGGTGGGTGTGAAGGTGCCGTAGCTGGTGTGATTCAACTCCAGACTCAAGCGGGCTCAAATGCATCCAGCAGCTGGAACACATCACCTCCTCTCTACAAGCCAAGGTCAGGCAGCAAAGCTGTCCCCACCTCTTGCTGAGCCCAACCACTGCTCCCTGCTTCCACCCAGCACGGGAAACTCACTGGTGCCCTACTCCCCACAACCTCCAGGAAAAACAGTGTGAGGTACATACGGAAATAAAACGGCAGGGCTGAATAGTTATGGGCTTCCCGGTAAGCGATCAGGTTGATCTCGTGTTGCCGCTGCTGGGCCTGGAGACGATGTTTGGTGCGTCGGTGATGGCAAACACAACAGCAGCTGAGGATGATGATGATGGTCCACACCAGCCAAAACCCTGCAGCAGGGGAGAGCAAGTGTTAACCACAGCACAAGAGCCACATCCAACCCCAGAAAACCCCATGATGATCATCAGAAAGCCTGGATCTGAACCCCACACTCCTCTAAAGGCAGAACATGCAGTGTGGCAGGAGGCTTCGACACAGACCTGCCTGCGTGGGTGTCTGCTAGTCTGGGAGCCTTGACCAAATCAGGTAAATCAGTACACTCTTTGGTACAACGTGGAGTATGTTCAATAGGCACAACTCTGGACGAGAACAAAATAGGGAAACAGGGCTAGGCTCCCCCCTGCCATCCATCCCACCCCATGGATATAATTTCTTCTAGCCAAAAATATGAGCAGAGCTGTGAATAGCATTGAACTTGTCTCCCACAGCCACTTCAGTTTGAAAATAATAATCAAGACACAAAAGACACTCTGCAGATTGACCACAGAAGAAGAGAAAAACCTCAAGCACTATGTTTTGCTTTTGTTTGCACTGCTCTTTAACTTCCAGCCCAAATCCTTCATTGTTATGTTTAACAAAAACATACTCTTTTTACACAAATGTCTCAAAACATTTTTAAAACTTATTTTTGTATTCAATGTCTTAAATTATACAAAATTCAATTAAACTAGCCCCCCACTCAGAATCCTCAAGAAACCTAACTTCTACTCCCTTTGTGGTCACGGCTGCTTTCTGCGCAGCTGTCGTACTGTACGTACACTGTTCCTTAAAAGGGAATTTTAAAAGAGCACTTCCTGAATTTTCTCCACTACCTCCAACATACGGAATAACCCCCCCTTTCCATAAATCCCCCTTCACACTTGCATGCACTAGAAAAATGTTTCCGAGACACACTTCAAAGAGCTACAACATTCACTCCAGATTAGGCTTTTGTCTCCTGCAACTACCACCCACAGCTCTACCTGCCTCAGATGTGTCTGTAAGCTTTATCTTTTTTAAACTCAGTTGTTGGAGCTAAAAATACCAGGAGAGCTCCCCCTTTAGAAACACACAGGCCTGGCAACCACTCCTCAGCAGAGATCACAACTTTTTCTTTCGGTAAATCCTCTGCCCAAACAGACAAGATGAAGATTTCTAGCGCCACAGCCCATGTTTAGCACAGCCATTCTGCCCTGTGAGATGAACCTGCTTTTTTCTCCCCAGTAAAAACCTCTAGTCCTGCCTTTACAATACCTTGATGTTCTCAGCATCCCCTGCCAAGTTAGTGATGTTTTCTCTGTTAAGAGCTAGGTGGGGAAAGGTGAACAGTTTAGGAATTTGAAGAATGAGAGGAGTATTGCTCTGCCTCAGGACAAAGTGCAATCGAGCCATACCACCAGTCTCAGGGCCCTGCACTGGGCTCTTTGTAGGTGCACTGGATATGCTGTATTGCGCCTCCAAGCATTTTCATCAAGGACTTTCGCCTTCTTGTGTCATAACCTAAATTCTCCATGCATTTTGGCACAGCAAACTGAAACTCCTCTCTTGCCTTGCACAACCGATTTCCCTATTGGACTGGATTCCGCCTTGTATCCAAACTTATCAAAACCTGATATCAAAGGAAGGTGTTACATGCTCTTTTTTTTTTTTTGCTTGGCTGGAAATCAAAGATCCTAGGCAGTTTTTCTAGCCAGCCTGCTCAGCTGTACCACAAAGGGCAGAGAGAAGGCAGTGATCTTCACTCCAGAGAAGTAAAGGATGAAGCACTCAAGATGCCCTCTGCATTTTCTTCAAACTGAGCTAAGTGTCTACTACCCTCCACATACTCTCCTGTTTCTAAAAAAGCCTTTTTGTATAAACTAAAGGGATTGGCCTACTCCACCCTTCCCTCCAAAGCCAGGCATTTGTAACCACTGTTTCACAGTCTGGAAACTCCCACCAATACACTTTATTTCTTGGTAAAAGAAGATTCCTTGGCTCTTGCTGTCTGAGGAAGCATGAACACGCTCATCAAAACCAGGTCATTGGCACAGCACGCCACCATGCACTGAAGCAGGCTTGCAGTTCATCTTTTAACTACTCCTTATTTTCAAAGAGCAGTCCGTGATCATGCGTTCAAAAACAATGGAAAATTACACACAGCTATCCAGGGATTTTAGCTACAGTTATGAGAACAGATGCTTTTTAACACATTTTATCATGTCCTTTCCCACAGACTCTAGATGCAATGGCAGCAAGCGGCACTTAGTTAGTTAAGATGTCCTGGAGAACTTCCACTGTTAAGCAATCTCAGCTGTAGCAGCCGAATTTTGCTGCAGGGAACAACTGCTCCCACCCAAGCCTGCATCCAGAAGATTTAAAAACTATTTCTTTAGAAAACTTCTCTACCCATTCCAAAAAAATCCCAAAGTGCTTTGCAGACAAACCGATGCACAAGCTCAGAGCAGAGGTCAAAGTAAGCTCAGCCATTCCTGAGAAGACATGCGGCAACTCTGTAAACAACAGGCAGTAACAACATACAGCAGTTTAGGATAATAAATTAATGCTGGATTCTACTGAAACCACAGGTGGGATTTTAAGTAAACAGACCACAATTTACTGGATTGCAATCTGGCCACCACGCCAGGAACAACACCTCCATTCTTGTGTAAAGGGTCTGTGCATGCCTGCAACCACAAGTAGATGAGATCTGCTGTTTTTCATGGGAATTTCCAGAAAAGAACCCACTAATACCACATTATAGCCTCATTTCATTAATTGCTGACACTTCTACAGCTTCTAGGAATTACCCAAGCCCTGACTCAGCACGAGCCCAGGGCCTTGCCTGGGTATCACAGGAGGTCAGCAGCGTGTGCCCACCACAGCCATTTGGTGGCCTGGCTTCTGGCATCCTCTGTAACCGCGTTGCCCCAGCCTTGTCACACAACTGCACCTCAGGGCTGAAAGTCCCCCCAGTGCATAGGAAGCAATAGGATGGGACACCCATAGATGCTGATGCACATGAGGGACTCCTTGGTTGTCACTTTAGCAGGGGTGCCAAAGGTGAGAGAAGGACTGGGTGCAGCTCTAGTTGCAAGCCCAACACGGTGCTGGGAGTCCAGGGCCTCCATAAAAGGCTCTGCAACATGCCCCAGCCAGAAGTTTGGGCACAGCTGCAATTTTGGCTACAGAACAGAAAAACTGTAAAAGCCTAGCAAATACATAATACATAGTACGGTCATTTATTTGGAATAAAGCTATGCCTACAAGGCCAAGTGCAATTGTAAATATTATGTCTAAAAGTATGGAGTGAACAGTGAAGATGTCCAGGGCTGAGCTCTGCATTTGCGCACCTGGTGATGCTTGGCTTCAAACCAGCAGCAGGGAGGTAAGCCGAGCAGAACACTGGCCCATGAACCCAGCAGCTCATTTGGCAGGAGAGGAAGGAGAGGAATTTCAATTTAACCCAAAGACAACACTACATGAGCAGGAAATGTGGAGGCTGAGCACAGTAGTGGTGCACGCTAACACCTCGTTCGTGGCAAAAGCAGGTACCAGTGCTGCCTCATGCTGAAAATGGGTAAGATGTGCAAAGGCAACAGAAGTTTGGCATTAAAAGGCCTCTAAAAGCCAAGTAAATCTGGGGTTCTAGTTGCCTACGCTGTCTCCAAAAGCCTTGCTGGTGCTCTTCAACATGTGTCTCGTTCTCAGCATTGTGCTGAGATATTGCTGCAGTTACTGGAAAATGAGAAAGGTGGGGAGACACTGGGCATCCTGACCCAAATTTGCTATTAAATGTCTGATTTGAGAGTATCTCCCATTGCCAACCTGTCAGCGACCACTGGGAACAAAAGGTTGCAGCAGCCTGAGGGCAACATGAGAAGCAGAGAGCAAAAAGGGTCTTTGGAAAAACAATTGCTGACAGAAGTGACGCACCAGTCTGGAGTTAAACATGCACCAAGGGACCATTGCACTTGAAGGCAATTTCAGGCTCGGTCCCAGTTTATGGAAGAGTCAGAAGTTGAACCACTCACTAGTCCAAAAAAGGCTGAGTCCTGAGAAACACTGCTATTATTTTCTGTCAAATTTACTGGTGATGCCAATGGGTGGTGGATAATGATGCAACCAAAGGGTGAATCAGACACAGCCAAGGAGCTGAGTTTTGCCAAGAGATTTCCCTGCCAGAGCATCAAAACCTTTCATAAAAATAAAAAATAAGTACCAACCTCTTACCCAGCAGCGGACAGGTTCAGAGCTGTAAGCTCTACACGAGCGCCAAGCTCAGAGAGTCAGAATGGGAGCTGCAGAAAGACCTGGGAACAGAACTGTATCTCATTAAAGTCACCTCTCACAAGCAGAGGAGAAGCCTGCTATGTTCACAGCTTCCTTGGGAAAGGGAGCCCCTTACATGGGCATGCATTGGTGATGCTTTCTAGCAGCCATGAAAGAATATGCCAGGCTTAAAACTTCAAGAAAAACCTTTCTGGGTGGGACACCGACTATGGTTCTGTCCAAGCTTAAGAATAATTAAGAGTAAAATAATTTAAGAATAAAAACCCTGAGCATTCCATCCTCATGAAAAAGGGGGGAGCAATGTTCATCTGATGCTGTACTGTGTTTCCTGCTTGGGATGTTGCCATCACCATTCCCGTTGAGGGAAGCTCCTTTTATCCTGTGCAAAATGGAAAATGTTTTCTGGAGTGTTCCAAGGGTAGGAACAGAGAAATCTGCCCTCAAGTTCATGGTAAACTTGGGCATATGCCATTGCTCTGTTGGCAGGAAGTCCCCTAAAAGCAAGCCAAAACATATTGCTAAGTGTTTTTGTGTCTGCCTGACAAGCATCTGGGTAATAGCTTTGGCTCCATGAGACCTGGTTATGAACAGAAGGAGAAGTGGGACAATTTCATTGACTAAACAGTGATGTCCCAAATGGCAGCCTCACAGTCGGCCATGGCTAGAAAAAAATTGTCTTTCATAGGATGAACGCTATCATCAAAAATCGGAGAGAGATTTAATTGGTACCACAACCTGGATGCCCTTGGGTTTAACAGTGTCCTTGGCACAGAGACCGCACAGTCTCCTGACACTTCAG